TTTCCCTATGTTGTGTCTTAACTCTCTTGACATTCTAGGATCCTCCCAAAATAGCTTTTCTGATGCATAAAAAAAAAAGTCAAGGCACAAAAGATTGCAAAGAAAACCAATTATACAGAAACATGGTTATCAAAATAAAAAAGCGACGTTGGGTGTCATAATATATAAACTTCTATAGGGACGCACTGGGTATGATGATGCAGCAGGGGTCTAATAACGACTATAATTTCAAAGCAGTGGCGCATATAAATGATATCTGGACATGAGATAAATAATTGAAATGAGGTATGAGAACTTGTGACTGCTACTGGTGACAGTACTTCTAATGCTACTATACTTTGTGGCTTTGGGTAATAAGTGGAAATGGTAAATTTCAGTTAATAAACATACATTTTGTTCTCATCCAAAGTCACAGATCCCCTACATCTAGCTAAGGTGCCCATAAGCCACCAGCTAAGAACATCTACATAACAGTCTCTGAAGTTATTTGTGATTCTGAATAGCTGGATTCTGTAAGAACAATTCAAATGAGATGGGGGTAGAAGGGAAGACATTTAGGTTAATGGTGTGAAATTTCACTATATTATCAGCCAGCACCAGGCTTCATCATGGGCTAGGAACTGTTTTAGTTGCGAGAACTGCCTTGAGACCTCTCTTGGGGTTCACAAATGAGACCCTGGTGACTTTCTTGGCAGGAAAAGTTGAGAACTAAACTGCTCTGCAGAACACACACCCAGGAATTAGGGGGCAGTGGGGAGCAGCAGGAAGAACCGAGACCCATAGAGGCAGCAGCAGGGAGCAGACTGAAGCCTGAGGGGTAGAAATAGAGACTCCTTAAGAAGATGGTGCCTGATAGTTCATTGGAAGTTGTTAAGTGGCTGCAATAGAAACTCCTCCTTGGACCCAAAACTTCATTAAAGCCAACTGTATGTTCAAGGGAAATTGGACAAATGGAAAGATCTCTTCTGAGGTCAATGTGGGAAGGGAAAAGAGAGCCTGTGTAACCTAGTGAGATGCTCTGGAGGTTTGAACCAAAAGAAATCCTAAAAATAAAAGTATCCTAGAGAGGCCTGAGGACCCACACTGCAATGTGGGCTTGAAGCCCTCCTGGATCACACAGCGTAGAGTGGTCTAGTCTAAGCTCTGGGTTTTCAGAGTATGGTCCAGATGCAGCATTAGCAACACCTGGGAACTTGTTAGAAAGGCACATCCTTAAGACTCACCAAGACCTTCTGGATCAGAAAGCTGGGGGTGGGGCCCAACAATCAGAAAGTTGGGGTTGGGGCCCTACTAGTTGTGGTAGCCCTGTGATAACCCGGATGCTCACTGACCCGAGAGAACCTTGCCCCAAGGCTGTATCGCTTCCATAGCTGCACCTCAGAGAAAGCATCCAATCCATTTCCACCCACTCAGAACCCCAGTCAGCCTGTGCCTTGCTGGAACCCCATCCCCCAAGCCTGGGGAGAAGGACAGCGGCCCTCCCCTTCACGCGCCTGCCTGGATCATCTCACAACGTGGTTTCCAGGCGCCCCCTAGTGGTCGTGCTTTGAAGCGCCTCCATTTCACAGTGCGGCTCTTAAAATGGAGTGTCCCGCGCGCGCTGCTGGGGGGGGGGGGGGGGGGGGAAGGGCGGGGGCCCCTGGCTGCTGTCACTAAGGCCCGCGTCCACTGCTGGGGCTGAAATTCGGCCACTGCACCCGGCCAGGAGGACGTTTCTTCTCTCCTTGATCGAGGCTGATGAAAATTAAAAACACTATGCTCTTCTCCCTACCAGGATGAAAAGAAAATACAAAAATTAACCACCATAGTAAGTGTAACTGGGAAAGGGGAAGCTCCTGGTTCCCTGCCCCACTCTGAGGAAGTCGAGCTGAGCAGGGAGGAGAAGCCAGAGAAGCCTGGGAGAAGGGAGGGCAGGGGGCAGAGTGAGGTGCAGGAGACAGAGCAGAGCCTGCGGGCTTCTCAGGCTTGGCCTTGGACCAGGGGCCCGGGGCGCAGGGAAGGAGACGCTTGAAACAGACATGGCGAGAGATGCGGGGAGGTTCACAATGGCAGCCTTTATCGTTATTTTGATTTTCTCTTCTGCCCCATCCCCACAGATCCCACCAGAAGACAACTTGGACGTCTGGCAGCTTTCTGCTCAGACTCCTGCTTCTGGCCAACCATGTTTGGCTGGGCATTTACTCACGACGGGATGGGTGACTTTGGGTGTTTCATGGGGAAGATATTCTGTATTCTTTCCCTTTTCTTCATTCTGTTGCACACGAGTCACATTAAAATTATTTTCTGGGCCCTCCTGGTGGTAAAATGGGTTAAAGCACCGCATTAGGAAGCTTTAAGAAGCCACACTGCTGCACAAATCCGATCTCCCGCCAGATTGCTGACCCACGTGGCGCAGCAGGCCTCTTCTGACCCACCGGTTACTACCCTCGGCAGTGTACTTTGTCAATCTGCCTGTTCTGCTCCCCACTCTGTCTCTGGTGAATCCTCTAACCCACCACACCTCTGGCCTATACCCCAGTTCTGTAAGCATAAATAAATCTTTTTAAAAAAATATTTTCTATCGAAGGTCTTAAACACTAGAGTGTATTTGGTCTGGACCATTTAGATGGGCTCTGACCATTTAGAGCAGGCAGGTGGGGGCCCCAGGCACCCCTCAACCTACCCTGTAATGTAAGTACAGGGAAGTAAACCAAACTCTGCATTCTTGGACAATTATTTCTGTGTTATTTTTGAAATATCAAATACAAATGTTTTAAATTTTAGTGTAAAATAGTTTATCTACCAAAAAAATGTAAAGAACGATATGTTGAAAAACAAACTCACATACTCATCACTCAACTATAAGGAATAAATTATTACCAATAGTGTTAAAAAGACAAACACGACTTTTCTAAAACTTCTGCTGTGTTGTAGCTTAGTCAACGGCTCTCACATTGGGCTGCCCATAAGATTCACCTAAAGCTTTAAAAATCTCAGTGTTCAATCGCCTCTCCATGAATCAGAACACAATTCAGAGTAGATATTGGCATTTTAAAAACTCTTCGGGTGCTTCCAACATGCTACCAAATCCGAGCTCCTGGAGGAGAGACTGGGGACTAGGGTGTGATGAGCCCTCAAGGTCAAGTGGAAGTGGGCTTTATCCCTGCTCTCTGGTTCTGTGTTCAACATTTTCCTGGCACAGGGAGACCTGGAACCCCAGGGGCCTTCCCTGCATTTTTGGGAGGAGTCTGCCATCTGCTGGCTAATTTGAAGAAAACATGGCAGGACAGTTGGTCAAGCTCAGGGCTGGAGCAGCAGCTTGAGTGTGTTGCATCAGAGAAGTAGAGGCCAGGGCGGTGTGTGTGACGTCACCTTTGACACACAGACCGAGTGACCATGCTGAGTTGTGATGGTCAGAAGTTGGGTCTCCCCAGCGTTCCTCGGAGCCCAGCTAGTGAAAGGTAAGCACGGAGAGGGGATGGAAAAACTGGGCAGAGAGGCTGCGAAGGAGATGTCCCAGAAGCAGCGGCCACTGCTGCCTGAGAGCCCCCTCCCCCACCCCACCCTAAGGCCCAGCAGGTGGTGTCATGCGCAGCCACCCAGGCTTGTCCTCTGTTTGGTCCAAGGATTGCATCAGCTCCTGTTCATTCCCACAGAGACTTGTTTGTTGTTCTCTCTATCTGGAACATTCTTTCTTGCCCCAATCCACTTCATCTGAACAAATGTTTATTCACTTTTCAGATCTCAGGAAACCACAGCCTCACACCCATTAGGGAGTCTGCTCCTTCCCTGGGCCCTGTTATTGCTGGTTCTGGAACCACCTGTTGACTTGTTTACTGTTTATTTACTCTCAAAAGATCCCAAATTTTATGAAGGTTGGGCCATCATTACAGCCTCAGCATCTAGCTTGTTGAAAAAAAACAGGACAGGAAAATTGTGTTTATTGAATTGATTTCTCTTATGGCAAAACCAGGCACCATAATCTGAAAACCAAAAAAAAAAAAAAAAAAGCACTTGAAGCATATCTACCCCCAACAATGAGGTTTCCCTAGAAGTAAATAAAATATAATTACCTATTCTATAACCACTTGCTAACCTGTGATGTTAGCTCTTTATTCCATTCGCCTGCTCCCAATCAATAAACAAATCTATGGCAGACAGCGAATGTTTGGTGGATTTGGCCATCAAATCCATTCCTCCTTCATAGTAGGAGCCCCCCAATTTCACCTTGGCGACCCCTTCCTCCCATTCTTAGTCTACAGGACCCAGGGCCACAGACCACGGTCCACAAGCCCAGGTATGAACACGTGACTCCCTGCAGTCCAACAGCCCAGCGTGATTGGTTAGGGGCAAGCACATGACCCGAGTCTGCCCAATGAGATTCTGGCTTTGCTGGAATTTCTGGGTAGGGAAGACCCAGCTGGTGGCTGAATGCTGCGGTGAAAAGGCAGAAAGCGAGGACTTGAAGCCAAACAGGACAGCAGAGCTGAGAGAAGATGGGAGGGAGTGCACCAGGCAGACCGCCTTCTGATACTGGCACCCCAACCCCGAATGTCCTCTGGACTTTTTCACTGCATGAGCCAATGAAGCCCCCTTTCCAGAAGCCTGAGCGTTTTTGTTCCCCACTGCCAAAGGACCGGGCCACATAGAAAGGAGAACAATAAATGTGACTTTTCTTACTTCTATTTATTTTATTTATTTATTTATTTTTTACAAAATCGGTACATCAACTGCAACATTTTGAACAGCTCAGAAAACTGTAAGTTAAAAGACACGCGATCTTTTCTGCCCTGGTCTCAGGCAGTACTGGGGTTCCCGGTTTAGGGAAGCCAAAGAATGACCTCGTCCAGGTTTTGAAGCCTCAATCTCCTCTTCCACCCCACTGCCAGCACCCCTCAACTAAATTGGCTAAATTGGCTTCAGAGGAAGTCGCCATCTCTGGACAAGAAGGTCGTAACTCTCAGCTGCCCTCTGGGAACCTCGGTGAGCCCAGGTCCACTGGGTGCCATCACCATTTCTCCTCAGCTCAGTGAAGAACCAGCTGTTTGCATCAGGGTTGCAAACATGGACTGGGGCCGCCCCTGCAGGACCTCAGGCTTGTCGAACTCCATTACCTGGAGGTGGGAAAAGGATGGGAGGGAACAGGAAACAGCTGAGCTCAGCCTCAAAGGACCAAGGCCTCTCATAGTGCCAGCCTGAGCTCCCATCCTCGCACCTGCCTCCCAGGCAGCTCTCACCTTCCCATTGCTCAGGACCAGGATGCGGTCACAGTTGAGGACGGTGGTGACTCGGTGTGCAATGACCATCACTGTGCAGCCCTGGAAGGCTTCTCGGATGGTGCGCTGGATCAGGGCATCAGTGTCCATATCAATGGAAGCGGTGGCTTCATCGATGAGGATGATCTGGTGGGTACAAAACAGAGCTGAAGGTGTTCTCCCCAGGCCAGACACCCAGGGCCAGGCACTAATTTGCCAAGTCCCCTTGCTGGAAAACAAGAGGTTTGGACATTCCTCAGCCTTCCCAGGTGGCACAATGGGTTTTAAAGCAGCACTATGAAGCTAGCCTCAGCCACTGCAGCATGAGTTCAATCCCCAGCCAGGGAGGTGACCCACATGGTGCGGCAGACCTCACCTGTGTTCCCGCCACTCCCCTCAGCAGTGTATTTCAGTAGATCTGCCTGTTCTGCTCCCTGCTCTGTCTCTGGTGAATCCTCTCACCCCCACCCACTGCACCTCTGACCTGTACCCCAGTTCTTCTATGCATAAATGAATAAATCTCTAAAGAAAAAAGCCCACTCTGTGTATGGTTCAAAGACTATTCAAAGACACCATCCACTCTCAGCTCCTGTTATTTATCCATGACGTTATGAAGAAGAGATGAGGTCTTGGCCAAGAGCTGTTGTTAGTAACCAGAGAATTAAGATCCTGAAGATAAAACTGTCCCCATCGCAACTGCTTGTTTTGTTAACCGCCTTCCTATTGCCTGAGTTAATGCAGGGCAGTAGTCCCTGAAGACGGCTCGTGCTCTGGCCAACATAGAGGCATAGTCTGTGTAGGGCTGGCCGTGCTAGTTCCTTCCACATGCGGTATTTATTTCATTGACACTGCGCTTTAGGAAAATATAATAAGTGCAGAGACGGTGAGTTCTCACGTGTGACTGCTTGAGATGAGGCAACCGAGAAGCCAAGCAGGTGCTCCGCATGGTCTGCAAACCCCAGCATGGAGCTCCACTCAGGAGACAGGAAAGTCCTGCCTCCTCTAAAGCTTCTCCCTGCTTCAGGTGCCACTGAGGTTGCCTTCTCTCCTCCCACAGGGCTGCAAGCTGCACCAGCAAGCCTGCATTTATCATTAATTAATCACAGAATGCGTTGTATGTGTGCCCATGTGCTTATGTGTATACATGTGTTTGCCTACGTTTACATGTTATGTGAGCATGGAGGCGATGTGTGGACATGTGTGTTTTTGTGTGTGAGTATGGAGAAGATGTGGGCAGTGTGTATGTGTACACGTGTGGGTGTGGAAGGGGAG